TGGAACCCCATCTGTTCAATCCCATGTGCTGGACTGTTGCTACTTCAAGTATTACACAGTCCGATTTTCCGTGATTCCTTCGCGTTTTTCCGTGATTCAGTCCGATTTTCCCGGTTAGTTCACAGAGGACATGCACCCTTCTACCTACAGCGATGTACCGTACAAATGGTGCCACATGGTAGAAAACCACGCCATCTTCTTGTTCCATCGCGTGGTACAATCAGGAAGCATGTACTACGCGATGGAATTAAGAGTTAAGGTGTTTTGGTCACTAGCTAGAACACCAGGTATTTATTTAATTTTAATAGTATTAATGTGTCATGCAACAAGAAGTTCCTTAGTAGTATTATCAATATAAACGTTACTGTAGTACCGTACTACTACTGTATACGAGTACTACTGTAGTACTACTACTATTAATACGTAGTACTACGTAGTACTACTGTACTAGTAGTATGCTACTGTATGAATGTGAATACGTATGATATATCATACTCCACATGGAGTACTAGTACATAATATGACTTGGACTTCCCCTTACGTTTGATGAACACCAACAGTTTGACCGAATAATCGTTGGTGGTTTCATCACATAAAAGTAATTCAGTGTACTTCGAATTAAATATTATTGTCGTCGCCTCACAATTCCCTAATTAAAAGAGTTCCACTGTTGTTTTGACCCGAAATACTGTTTCAATGAGGTTTATATGGAACTTTGTATGCTCAGCTCTTAACCCCTGCAGTTACCCCCGGAGATTTGCATCGTATGTACTCACCGGGGGTAGGACGGAGTACAGCAGTACTTCGGGACAAAACAACAGTGGAACTGTTGTTTTACAGCTGAGTACTGTACTGTACATTGCTCAAAAGATAAGTCCCTCTATGTTGTTTTGGTTATGCTACAAATTCTTGCTAAGTCGTCGAAATCAACGCGTCTGTCTAGACGTGGGAGATTGTTCGTAACGCTCCGTACGTGTCCTTGTCGTCGTTGACTAGTCGTTCGTACCACACAAGCAGCACAATGCCCACTGCTGCCATGATCAAGCTGATGAGGAACATTGGGGAGAACGTGGCAAAGAGCGCTGGGAGCAGCGGCAGCACGATGCGGCTCACGGACGCGGTGGAGCCGAGGATGCCCATCCACGTGCCTTGTTGCCGGGAGCCGAGGATTTTCGAGAAGGCCGCCACGGACACGGCCGTGATGAGCGGACTGCCGACACTCCACACGAAGAAGATGCCGAGCGCCATCTCGTTGAACGAAAGTGGCCACAAGAAGTACAGAAGCGTGTTGCCGACGACGAGCGCGGCTAAACCAATCAATAGCCACGCCGTATCGGCGATTTTGTGGCGAAACACTTCAATGGCGAGGTAGCTGAGCAGCCCCAGCAGGCCCATGTTGAACTGGAACGACGCGGCGGATGCGACGGCGTTGGCGTTCGAGTAGCCCGTCACGTCCAGGTACAACGGCACGTTGATCGTTTCAAAGATGGACAGTATGCCGCGGCCGATGATGTTGAGCACCATGAACACGCCAACCCCAATGTACACCAAGTTGGTCGGCAGTTCGTACGTCGAGTTGAGTAGCGGGGACGACAGCAACGCGGGTCCCTTGCTGGTGATGGAGGGTTTCTTTAGAACGGGGGTCGAGATGGGCGCGTGGTCCGAGTTCATGCTTTCGTCGTAGACAAAGAGCATCAGCGTCAGCGTGATCAAGTTGAGGATCGACAGGATGAACCCAGGGGCGGTGAGTGCATGCAGATGCAGCCCGAATATGTTGACGTCGACGCCCACAAGCACGGCACCCATCCCTGGCGTCAACGCGTACCCGAGGAACACCACCATGCACAGAATGGTCATGTACTTGAGTCGTTGGTCCACTGACGTCATGCGCGCGACGTCGGCGCGGCACACGCTTCGATTTCCAGCGCCAAAACCCACAAAAAAACGAGAAATGAGCAGCACTTGGAGGCTGCTAAGCACGTGCGGATCGGCAAAAAGGTAGATGATGTTCCCGACGATCCCCAGGGACGACGACAGGATGTACACCGTGCGGAACGTGTACCGATCGCACATCCAGCCAAACACAAACGACGAAATGAGGCGGCCGACGCTGAACACAGACGTGAGCATGCCCATGTCGACGAGGGTGCCGCCAAGGGACTGGCAGTAGAGGAAGATCGTAGGCATGACAATTCCGCGCGACGATTCCGCGGCGAACTCGATAAAGTTGATGAGGAACATTTGCAAGTACCAGTGCGCGGTTCGTCGAGGGCTCGCGGCCGGGGACGTGAGCGGACTCAGGTCCCGAGGAATCGACTGGTAGTTGACTTTCTCGGTGGTCATGATGTGTGGTGATGGAGAGATAGAAGGCTGCGCTCGGTCGACGTGCTGTGACGTGGTGGCTGGTGGGGTGTGGGGTGGCCAGCCAGAGTGCAAGTGGACGAACAAGGCGAAAGGTCGGTCCGTGGGCACTTCACTAGATTCGGATGCGACCAATCGCGTTGGGCTGAGTATACTGGGCAATGGGTGGAGTATCTGTCTCATTGAATAATGGTTCGAAAGGACGAGCCAATCACAGTCGAGATTGATCGTGGACGTGGCCAATCCAAACGCTTCATCCGACGGATTCATTGTGATTCAGCCAATCAAAACAATTGCGTGTGGATTCCACCAATCAGCAACCACACACATGTGACCTGTCTATGGTACAGTGTCCACGGCAAATTGCAACGATCATGTCATCATCACGCTTGGTTTCATATCAAATCAATCATTCCAAAGTATGGGCGGGTCGGCGGTCTAACGGAACGACTACCAGATATATACACCCAAGCGATACTGGTATACCAGTCCGTGACCAGTGCATTGGTGCAGCACGAGCAATGGACTGAGTCTACTACCAGTAAGTTTAAGTGCAAACGTGTAAGATACGGCCACAGCATTTTGATTGGCCAAACAGCACCCACCCACGCACTTCACGGGAACAGGCGCACTTATACGGGTAGGTCAAACTTCCCTGGGCATCCATCCCCTTTCACATGCGGAGATGTCAAAGAGCCACCAAGAAACCACGGATTCATCGACCACCACATACTGAACGAATGGATATGATGGCTATGCTGATGTACACGTATAAAATCTCATATTCCTGTGTATTATAGTACTGTACTAATTACTTGTGTGTTCTACAGTACAGTACCGTCCGTACTCATAATTTCTCCGACGGTAAGTTGATCGCCGGACCTGCGAAATATAATGCAAGTACCTATTACAATACTCATCAATGATAGCCAATCATAAGGCAATCTTCATTCTTTTAGCCAATCATACGGATTTGCTGGATTTTGTTGGCGGTTTGGCCAAGCACAGTACGTTGTCGAGCTACGATGTACCGGTAGTGCAGCTGCTGCTGGTCGTTCTGACAAAATTATCCGCTGCACGTGTGTGAAATGTATCCGCATCAACTGGCAATTAATTACACGTGTTAAGTGGGGTTGTATCTCCCAAACAGTGCGTGAAGAGCTAACAGTTACCCCCGCCTGACTTCGCCAAATTGAAAATGGCCAGTCTCGTTGGCATGAGCTTGTGCTTGTCGCTACGGCCAAATCCTTCATATATGCTAGATATATACAGTACACGAGTAACGTACCTGTCCTTGAAACACTTGGCGGCATTGCATGCACTGGATTGTGAACCCCCCCACGTCCGTGTATTGATGTGTCTACCCCCACCAACGTGTTCATCATATAAATCCCACCAATCTCGTGTCACTGTACCTGATGCGCTTCCACGGCTAAGACGCTAGCATGTTCCACCTACAAGATACGTAGAATTCACCACCAACATGGAGCATACATATATGACCCGTCCACTTTAGTTTGCTAGGGGCGTCCTACCTTGACAAAGTCGTTGATTGAAAACAGTGTTTTGTCGCTGTGGGGGCCGCGATGACCGGTCTCGGCAATGGCGTCGTAATGGATGCCGTCGTAGAGAAGGAAGAGGCGCTGGGTGAACCCTTGGTCCTCGCCATAACACAGCCGTGACATGCTCACGACGTCAAACACGAGCATCTCCACGCCAAAGTGCGCCGACAGAATCGACAGCTCGATCTCTCCGCCCCACGACTTGTCGTCCATGATCCATGCGCAGTATTCATCCACGGCGCGGCCGAGAAACGTCGGGTTGTACACGGACGGGTCGGATAAGATCTTGTCCTACCCTCAACGGAACAATGGGTTGAGTATGCATGAAGGGGAACACAATGGCGGCGACATTATAGTGGTTTGAATACCTTGACGATGGATCGAAGGGCTTGTCCGTTCTGCTTGTCGCCCTTGCCGAGACAATAGCTAAGAGTACGAGGTCATGCTGCGGTGGATGGCAAGGGTAGATGTGTCGTGATACGTGATGGGAACGAAGGAGTGACGATTTACCCGATCGCGTTGAAGAGACAACTGTTGTCGGCGGCAATGACTTTGCGGACAAACGTGGCTGTGGACGGTTTTGTCGATGCCAACGTGACTTCTTCCTTGAGGGTGACCACTGATCCCGACGTGATGCCCAGTTTTGTGAGCAGCTCGCTGTTGTCGCCAACAATGAGCTTGGGAGGGTACCCACTCAACACTGCCACAAGGGAAAACAAGTACACGGTGAGGTGGTTGATTCGGATAGAACACATACATGTCTGGTTGTCAGGAGTAAGGCCTGTCTCCTGAAGCAAGCGCTGCTTCAACTGCAGGAGCGTCGTGTCAGGCGCTAGTCCAGATAGCTTGATGGAGCCCTGCGATGAGTTCACTTTGAGGTTTATCGATGCCATCGCGATGCCAAATTATGAAGGTTCGTGGACATTTCTGATCCGGATAAACTAGATTCTAATCCGGATAAACTAGATTTCGGATAAGAATCCATTGACACACAACGAACATGTCGACATCTCCAAAGTTGAGAAATATCTCGAGTAGTGTCCAAGACGAATGCTTGAAGAACGCAAGGTACAGGAGTGAGCATCAGTAGAGCCTGTTCAAGTGCGTTGCATAGCCCAAGGAACATGTCCTATACCCAAGGACGATGAACACTACAAGTAAGGCGGTCCGTAGAAGTGTAGCGCCACTCTTTTAACATAAATTGGTATTAATAGGGAGATTTCGGAGATGAGTATTTATCTTTATCCTTAAAATAACCTCTGAAGCTTTATAGGGTTGAGGAAAACTCCGGAACTTAGTACCAGAATCCATGAAATGGGTCCATTTTGGGGATTCGAATCCTCGACCATGATTGGCCAGATCTGTTGACTTGTAATTGGCCAGATCTGTTGACTTGTGATTGGCCAGATCTGTTGACTTGGTGCAACGCTTTTCTGTTGTTGGCACTTCGAATGGAGCGTGGAGGTGGAAGCGTGGAGGATGACCCACATGAAGTGGAGGTCAATCAGAGGCGCGGTGGGAGCGAACAAGTTACTGATAACCTCCATGTTTATGCATAGTGACGTAGAATCATCACATGTATACACTTGTAGGAACTACGAAAAGCAACTTAGGCGGCGCCCGACGCCGCAGCTTAGTCAGCCGCGCCTAGCAGTACATCCGACAGGAGTTGTACCAGCGCATATCAACGATATCTTAAAAGCAC